CAATTACAGGAACGAATAAATGGATTGATTCCAGATTGCAAGTGTGCCCTAGTGAAAACAAAACAGAAGAGTTTGAAAGAAAGTGCCTGGGGGAAAGGGAGGGGCGGTGCTAGTTTAGAGAGTGCAGATTGCAGGACCTCTTTAAAGAAGTGGTGTTTGAGATCTAGAGGAAGTGAGGGAGTAAGGAACAGTGTGAATGACAGAGGGAACAGCAAGTGCAAGGATCCAACATGGTTGAGCAAGGAGAGGGAGGCTACTGTGGCCAGAGCCAAATGAATGAAGAAGGGTATAGTAGCTAGCTAGTCACATGGTGACCAGATTGTGCAGGGCCTGGGGGGCCGTGGTGAGGATTTAGGCTTTTAATCTGAATGAGAGGCGAGTTTAGGGAAGGCTCTGCGGGAAGAGGCACTGGAGAGGGCGTAGGTGTTTGACAAGCGCCCTCTGGCGGCCATGTGGGGAACTGTAGGGCCAGGAGAAACGGAGAACCCCGGGGGGAGGAGCTTTGATAGGAGCCTGGACCAGGTCGATAGCCCAGGAGGTGGATCAGACGGTGGATACATGCTGAAGGTGGAGCCAAGAGGCTCTGCTGACAGAATGAAAGAGTCGGGGGGAGGGGACGATTGGAAGATGCCAAATGGGACTCCCAAGGATCTTCAGGGTCCCCAGCTAAGATGCAGGTTGACTTTCGTCTTGTCTTGAGATTGTCAGAATTTTGCATTTCATGTTCATGGGCAGTCGAACGACCCACGTCGTCCTCCCACCACCTAGCCAACGAGTCGTGTTTAGCACTGGGCTCTTCGCTGTCACTGGGGTGTGCTGGGTAGCCTGTCGGTGCTGCGAGGGCAGAGATGTTTGCCAGTGGGGTTCACGGAGGTATCCAGAGCACTAAAACAGTGCCTGGGACACAGAATTTCAGGAATGGATGAATGCAGTCAGACCCCAGGAGAGGGCAGGGGGGACAGGTAGGGAGGAGGGAGTGAGAGGCTGAGGTTGCTGGGTGAGCAGGTGGGTGTGGGTGCCGGGCCAAGGAAGGGTGGTGACTTGGAAGTCAGGGTTGTCTCCCCCACCCCACCAGTTGACGGGCAGCCCCGCATGGCCCTGCAGTACCAGAAGGTGGGGGAGAACCTGCAGAATGGTGGTGCTGTCATTGCTGTTTTTCTGGCTATTCTTGCCTTCGGGGTCATCGTGGCTTCGTGAGTCATCCCTGCCCTCTCCTGAGGCTCCCAAATGCCCCACCGGGCCCCACAAAAATGTCCCTGCTCTGTATCAGCCACGGTGTCATTTGGGAATCTCCTCCTCACTCACTTTGTCTCTCCCTCTCCTTCCTTCTCTCCATCTCTTCTTTTCCCAGCCCCCATCTCTGTCTGTCTGTCCATCTCTCTTTCTCTCTCACCTCCTCTTCCTCTCACCCCTGGACCACCTTATGTCTTTCCTGGGTCCTCAGCACTTTTGCCTCTCTGGGGCTCTTCCTCCATAAAGAAAAATACATTAAAAATTGTATTTCCTGCATGTGCTGGATGAAGACAGATGTCATCCGAGCTGAATTCATTATTATATATTCTTCTTCACCATTGTCGTTATATTAATTTATTCTGTTCTGCTTTTCAAAGTGGTTAAAATGAAAACATTTCCATTGGGCCCCAAGCACTGAGCCCATGGTGCCGAGGGGAGAAGTGGACCTCACCCTCCTCTCTGCCTACCTGTTGCCCCCTCCAGCCCCTCTCCTCTTCCCTCAGGCCCCTTTTCTGTAGGTCTCTGCCTTCTCCACCTGCCCCTCACCCTCCTTTCCCAGCGCCTGGTGGTGAGTTAAATCAGCACTCAGCACAATGAATGTCTGCTCCCACTGTGAGCTTGTTCAGTCTGTGTCCTCTTCTCTCTCCCTCTCTCTGCCTCTCCCACTGGGCTTTCTACTCCCCTCCCCTGTCCCAGTCTCAATCCTGCTGTCCCCCCTACCCTGCCTCCCGGGTTGAATCCCTCCCACCTCGCCTCTCTTTCTCCAGTACCTTCCCCACTGCTCTCTCCCCCTCCCCCATATTCGAACCTCTCCCCCCCTTTCTTCACTAGGTCTTTATTTCTGTCTCGAATCTTGTTTCTCTCTCCCTAAGCCTCTTGCTCAAGGTCTGTCTTGCCCCTCTGTCTCTATGGCATCCTTGGTATTCCTTGGCTCATGGCTTCCCTCCGATCTCTGCCCACCCATCTCCCCTCTTCAGATGGCTTTTTCCTCCACATCTATGTCTCTGATCACCCTCTTCTCCTATGAGGACACCAGCCTTTGAATGTAGGGTCCATCCTAAATCCCGAATGATCTCATCTTACCTTAACTTAATTACATCCGCAAAGACCCTATTTCCAAACAAGGTCACATTCACAGGTCCTGGGGATTAGGACTTGGATATATCTGGGGGGAGTGGGCGGGGCGGGGGGGACACAGTTCAATTCAGCACACCTGCTTCTCTCTTTTCCTCATTTCCTTCTCCTTCTGTCTTTCCCTTCTCCATGAGTCTCTCGCCCTATATCTGTGTCTTTCAGAGTCTCCTCCAGTCTTTCCCACTCTTTCTGTTTTCACATTTTACCCTCACTCCCAGTCCCAAATTTTCTCTCCTCCTCATTCATGTACCAACACTGATTGGCTGAGAACCCTGGAAATCTGCCCAGATACCCGTGATGTCACAGGCTGAACCAAATAAGGCTGATGATTGGAGAGAAGTGTTTTTTTGGGGGGGGTATGGTTGACCTGGAGGGACCTGAAGTTCTCTTTGTAACCTCCAGGCTTTTTCTCTCTGACCAGGGCTATTATGTACAGGCAAAACCGAAAACTCCTGCTGCAGTAGGGCGGTGGTATGGGGGTCTGTAAGGGGAAAGGAAAAGAAGTTTAATAAAGTCCATGACAAATTCCTCAATGTCTCTGTCAGTTTCTGGAGGACCCTCCTCCCACTTGGTGTCTAGCTCTGGATACCCAACTGGGTGCTCCTCAAGGGTTGGGACAAGGTCTCACTCATCTGTAGGTACCAGTTACCCTACATCAAAGTAGAAGTGATTTGAGCCTTCAAGAGTAATAGACAACCTACAATGAGAGCTTGAAAGGAGGAATGCATCCTAAAGGAGATAACACCATAGTGGGTCCCTCAAGGATGGTCTGGAAAAGGGACAGCAGTAGTCAACGCAGAGAATACACGTTCCCCTCCCTCTCTGAACTAAATTTTCACCCTCTGTGTTCCTGAATAGATTCAGATACATTTTCATGTAAATCTTTTGCTATCTGAACTCTTGCTACCTGCTAACCCCAAGTAAGAAAGCAAATAAATTTGGATAACATAGTATCCGTCTGTTTCTGAACTTGCTAGCAAAACTATTGCTATCTCATTCAGGATCTGGATAATGAAGATGTTTGGTGTGATGAGGGAACAGAGGGCAAGCTGAGGACAAAGCAGAAGCTGACACCCCACAACCCCCCCCACCATGGGGTATATGTGACATTCCTCAGGCACTCCTGGCTGCCCTAAAGGAAAAACAAATAGTTAACTTACAGAGATCACAATCCGACGACAAGATATGAATCTCCCTCAGGTTACTTACAAAAGCCTTTCCATTGGGAAGGGCTTAAAAGCCTTAGCAAGGGACGCCTGGGTGGCTCAGTCGTTAAGCGTCTGCCTTTGGCTCAGATCTTGATCCCAGGGTCTTGGGATCGAGTCCCACAGCGGGATCCCTGCTCAGCGGGGAGCCTGCTTCTCCCTCTCCCTCTGCCTGCCGCTCCCCTGCTTGTGCTCTCTCTGTCAAATAAATAAAATCTTTAAAAAAAAACAAAACAAAAAAACCTTAGCAATAGCTTCCAGAAGGGAATGTAAATACAATTAAATGTCTTTACAACCTGCAGCCCACAGTCAGACACTTGAAGTGGGCAGTGTAATGTTCCTCCAGGAAGTTCCCAACTATTAATGCCTTACTAGAGGGGTAAACAACCTTAATTTGACAATGGCAAGGCCTCCAGTATCCTGTGAATCTTCTTTAGCATATGAAAGTTATTTCAGAAATCTCCCTTTTTCCTTACCTCCCCCAACCCTATAGTATATAATCAGCCACCCCTCACAACCCCAGGGCAGCAGCTCTTTCTGCCCACGGGTCCTGTCCCCGGGCTTTAATGAACCACCATTTTGCACCAAAGATGTCTCAAGAATTCTTTCTTGGTCGTCAGCTCCGGACTCCACCGCACTGAACCTCGCCTATATTCCAAAACCTCATCAGTGGAAGGGATGGGCGTTGATAAGAAAAACCAAATTTAGCTAAAGATTCGGTGCCCAGCACAAGGCTTGGCCCAGAGCAGGCTCTCAGTAAATATTTGTGGAATAAATGAGGATGGTAGTGTTGGCGGAAAGGGGAGGAAGCCTGCAAAAATGATACTGATCCATATACTGAGGGCCTTTAAATGCCAGGGAAAGGAGCTTGGTGGTTTTTCCAGGGTCTGGGATGGAAACCCCAAATATTGATGGGTCCAGGAAGATAAAGTGAAATGCAGGTCGCATCCACGGAGGATAGAAAGTACTCAGCTCCATTCTATTGCGGTCGCGGTGAAATAACAGCCCAGTGTTTTCAGATCTTCAGAGTTCTCAAGAGAACCCAGAAATTCAGATTTTTTTAAATGTGAAATCTCTCCATAAGTAGTGCAGGCAACTAATTTTTTCGAATACTGAGGACCAACCCAAGACATGTTTTGCTATCATTGTGAAGTGACAGAGAAACATCTTATATTTGCTTATATTTTTTATGCTTATATTTTTTATGCTAGAGATTATTGGCAAATGAAATGTTAAGTGTGGCTAGAGCTCGCTAGATTCTCTAATTAACTACATTTCCCAGAATCCTCTCCCCCTGCAACTCCCCCGTTGCCATAGATACTACCGAGCCACTCTAGTTAAAGGTGGGGTGGGGTATGCACTCGAAGAGCCCGACTCCAGTCCTCCGTTGCCAAGATACCGGTTTTGGCACATGCGCAGTAAGGAGCCCTTGGATTAGGGCGGTTTGGAAGAGCAGAGGCTCCAACCCAGAGCAGTCTGGAAATGGTAGTTTCCAGGCTCCCCCACCCCCACTACCACGCAGGCGCCCTCCAGTGAAGGCAACGGATGCTGTCGCCTCGGTGACGTCACTCCTGGCACGCATGACGTCACCCCCACCGAGCATGCTAGCTGGCAGGCGAGGCTTCTGCAGACAAGTCAAAGATGCCGGACTTCACGTTCACTTCTTAAGCTGGTGTCCTGTCCCAAGCCCACTCCGGTGAGGCCTGGGGGTCGTAAGTTGGTGGCCCTAAAATGCTTTTTGCTTAGGTAGCAGTGTTGTTTTGGTTTCTTACATTTCTTCACGCTGCAGGTCCAGCTACGCCCTTAACTTTCTGTGAATTTCCTGGGAGCAGTGCACAATAAAAGGATAATTAAATTGTGCGGAAATTATAGTGTGATGAATGCTCTCGGAGAGCGCAATCTGGGGCAGGAGAGACAGTTACAATAATTACAATACAGTTACTATAATATCAGCGCTAGGTTCGGGTGGAACCCCGGGAGGGAGTTGACTTACCAGCTCCAGCTGGGCTGGATGGGTATAGGGGAAACTTTCCCATAGGAATGGCTGTAAGAGCTGGTAGCAAGAAATGCAGTTTTCCAAGAGCAATAGAGAAAAAGAACGTTCCGGACAGAGGGAACAGCACATACGAAGGTCAAGAGGTGGGAAGTATTAATAACTTTTAAAAATAATATTTGAGGGGCGCCTGAGTGGCTCAGTCGTTAAGCGTCTGCCTTTGGCTCATGTCATCATCCCAGGGTCCTGGGATCGAGCCCCACATCGGGCTCCCTGCTCGGCGGGAAGCCTGCTTCTGCCTCTCCCACTCCCCCTGCTTGTGTTCCTGCTCTCGCTCGCTCGCTCTCTGTCGAGTAAGTAAATGAAATCTTTAAAAAAAAATAAAAATAAAAATAATATTTGATGTCAATAATATTGATAGCAAACAGAAGGTGGTGTTTTCTGTAACATTCTGTTGTAATAGCTTTAGTTATAGCTACCTATTCAAATGTCATTTATTTGGGTATTTATTATCTCCTTATATACAATGAGGAAACCGAGGTACAGAGAGGTTAATGACGTTCAGTGAATAAGTGGGATTAACCATTATGCTCTGTGGCCCTTGCTACAGGATCCTACCTGTAAAGCACTGTGCCAATTGTCTTCTATAGAACATCAAATCCTATTGGAGCAGGGCCCTACCCTTTTGACCTCATTTATGCTTAATTACTTCCCCAAATGCCCTATATCCAAATAAAGTCACATTGGGAGTTAGGGCTTCAACATACGAATTTTGGGGGAAACAAACATTCAATCCATAGCACTCTTCCACATCCCACACTTGCATGCCAGCCACAAAGAGCTCCTTATATCTCTTTCTCTCCTCTAGGCTTCTGTACTCTCTGTTCCCTCTGCCTGGAACAGCCCACCTCATTCTCTGCCTTCACTGGTCACGTTTATGCCTCTTAGTCCATTGGTTCTTATCTTTCAAGCTACAGCCAAGATGAGACCTCCTCCGAAAGTCCTCCCTAATTGCCCAGAGTAGGTTGGAGGCCCTCATCTGTGCTCATACCATGCCCTGGGCTATCCCCATCAAGCACACATATCACACTAGGGCCTAACTTCCTGTAACCATGTCTTTATCATGTACCCCAATCCTAGCAATAGTGATTGGTCCAAGGGGTGGGCCTAAGACCCAAGAAGGACCAATCAGGACCCTTCCCTGGGATTGCTATATGAATTCAGTTGCAACCATGCTACTTGCTTCAGCCAATGAGATTCATATGTCAGTGAGCTCATTTAACTTGCATGACTACCCAATGAAGAAGGCATTGCTCCCACATTTTAGAGACAAGGACACCTAGAAGGAGGATTTAAGTAACCCATACAAGACCCATAGCTAGTAGGACTAATGTAGGACAAGATCCATAGTAGCAGGACTAATGTCCTTATAAAAAGAGGAAGAGACACCAGAGCTCTCTCTCCATAGGCTCCTGTACCAAGGAAAAACCATGTGAGGATATATCGAGAAGGTGGCCATCTGCAAGCAAGGAAGAGAGGTCTCACCAGAAATCAACCATGCTGGCTCCAGGATCTAGGACTTCCAGGCTCCAGAACTGTGAGAAATAAGTTTCTGTTGTTTAAGTCATTCAGTCTATGGTATTTTATTATGGCCACCTGCGTTGATTAAGAGAGAGTGTCATGAAGTGAAGCAAGGCAGGCTCCAGGCTCACAGGGCTTCAGGTACCAGGCTAAGGCCTGGACACTTTGCTGAGGGCAGTACCAGCCAGAGGAAGGACTGGATCTGCTCTCGTGCAGAAAGACCATTCTGGGGGGGAGGGGGGTGCACCTGGGAGGTGCAGTCGGTTAAGCATCTGACTCTTGATTTTGGCTCAGGTCATGACCTCATGGGTCATGAAATCGAGCCCTGTGTCAGACTTTGTGCTCAGCACAGAGTCTACTTCTCTCCTTCTCTCTTTCCCCCTCCCCCATGCTCGTGCATGCTCCCCAGCTAAAATAAATAAATAAATCTTTATAGAAAGAAAGAAAGAAAGAAAAAAGAAAGAGAAAGAAAAGAGAAAGGAAGAAAGAGAGAAAAAGAAAAGAAAAAGAAGAAAGAAAAGAAAGAAAGAGAAAGAAAGAAAGAAAGAAAGAAAGAAAGAAAGAAAGAAAGAAAGAAAGAAAAGACAAGACAAGACAAGACTCTTCTGGGATGTGTGTGGGGGACATACTGGAGGGGAGACACTGGGGGCCAGGAGGTTTGAGATGAGATTACAGTGAAGCTCTAGGGTAAGGACAAGGCTTGAGCCAGGGCCAAGTTCATGGGCATGGAGAGGCAGCAGAGCCGGGGAGCCTGGCGATGAGAAGAGAGGTTTCCCTGGACCCACTGTCGCTGGTTGGATCTTTGAGCCTTGGGGCTGCAAAGGTCTCCCTGGGGCTGTTGGACACATCTTCCCAGGGTGGTTGTATGAGTTAAATAAATTAATAAAGCCCACTACATGTTGTCACTAAGTGACAGCTGATCTTATTTCATTTTGATAGTGGTTTATCTAGCTTTTAATCATGTGTATACATATATTTTACATCTTTATAAACATGAAAGATACATAACTTTGTAATTTTTCTTCTTTTAACTTTCATTCACAAGTATTTCCCCATGTTATTGTGTCCTGATCATAATTATTTCAGGCTCGATAACGTTTCATAGGCCGGATATACCATCATTTATCTAATCAATCCCCTGAGTCCATATAACTGAAACTAACTTTTTATTTTTTTTTTTAATTTTATTTATTTATTAGAGAGAGCATGAGAGGGGGGAGGGTCAGAGGGAGAAGCAGGCTCCCCACTGAGCCAGGAGCCCGATGTGGGACTTGATCCTAGGACCCTGGGATCATGACCTGAGCCGAAGGCAGTCACTTAACCGACTGAGCCACCCAGGCGCCCTGAAACTAACTTTTTATTATTTGGTTTCTGATTGGAGATGGCCCCCTCCAAGGGACAATTCAGGGATCTAGGCTCCTTCCATTTTCTTTTTTCTTTTTTCTTTTTTTTAAGATTTTATTTATTTATTTGACACAGAGAGAGAGAGAGACAGCGAGAGAGAGAGAGAGCACAAGCAGGGGGAGTGGGAGAGGGAGAAGCAGGCTTCCCGCCGAGCAGGGAGCCCAATGCGGGGCTCAATCCCAGGACCCCGGGATCATGACCTGAGCCGAAGGCAGATGCTTAACAACGAGCCACCTAGGCGCCCCTAGGCTTCTTCCATTTTCAACATAGGACTTCCAGGGTCATAGTCTCCATCTACATCCACAGAAAGGAAAAGACTGTGGAAGGTGACAAGTGAGAGGTTTCAATGGGCCAGGTCTGGGCTTGGCATGCATGTTCACTTCTCTCACTTTATTGGCCAGAACTTAGTCACATGGTCACCCCGGATTGCAAGGGAGGCTGGGAAATGTAGTCTAGCTGTGTGCACAGAAAGCAGGGGAAAGGCTTTGAAGAAGAGCTATTTGCCACACATTATCCCAATGAGGGATTACAGAGAGGAAAACCTAGGTACAGAGTGGAAGACAACTGCTCCAGATCACAAAGAGATTACAATCTATCAGGCAAATATGGCACTAAAATCCAAATAACCCCTTTTTTCATTAGATTTATCATCATTCTTTGTTGAAAAGAGAAAACCTATGGGATTTTATTAACCTTGTACCCAGTAATTTTACATAATTATCCATGGCTTATCTTAGTGTTTCATTTGATTCTCTGATTTCCAAGATAGCAATCATATCATATTTAAAGAAGAATGACAACCCAGACTTCTCTGTTCCAATGATACCTTTTCTTTCTCTTGTCTAACTGCATTGATAGTTCTTCCAAAAGTGGTCATGCTGGACAGTTTGTTCTGACTTTAATGGGGATGTTTTGGTTTTTAGCATTAAGCCTGATACGGGGTTTTGATGATATGTATGTAATTAAAAACAAGGGAGAACCAAGGAACTCCTTAAGATTGTTGTCATTACTGGGGTGTGTGGGTGGCTCAGTCAGTTAAGCCTCTGCCTTCAGCTCAGGTCATGATCTCAGGGTCCTGGGATGGGGCCTGGGTTGGGCTTCCTGCTCAGTGGGGGGTCTGATTCTCCCGCTCTCTCTGACACCTATGCCCTCTCTCTCAAATAAATAAAATCCTTTTTTTAAAAAAAGATTGTTGTCATTACTATTCAAGATGGACCTATTCTTAAATATATTAACTTTATGCAGAAATGGCTTATTACTGAAGGTTTTCAAAACCCTTTTCATATCCATGGATGTGATGGTATTACCTTGATATATCAATTAGCAAATTATATGATAGCCCAATATCAAACCATCCTTGCATTCTTGGATATACATCTTCCAGCTCCCACTTTAGGGGTCTGTTTCCTTTATCACACCACCCTTTAAGAGGTGATAGGTGAAACTGAGGCAAACAGGAAGCGGATGCCCAGAGGTAGTGAGTAATTAGTGACAGAGGCTCAATTTGTTCACCATCAATTTAGATGGGGCCAACTTCTACGTGTCCTGTGGACTTCAGCTAAAGGGGAAGCTTCGTTAGATGGGTTAAATGGACTATGACGTCCCCTCCTGTGAAGGGCAACAAAAAGACTGGCTATAATGGGTATATTCGCCGGGTCAGTACAGCCAAAATTTCTCAATACCATGTTCCCTTCGGCCCCACGTCGTACTCGCAGACTCCATTTCCCAGCATTCCCCCCGCCTTTAGAGACCTTAGCTCGGGAGGAGCGTGAGCCCGTAATGGTTTCTGGGAAATGTAGTCCAGCTGCGAAACCGCGTTTAAAGAACCAGGGCTTAATAGTTCCGAGACAGCGACCGCGCAGGCGCATTCCGCGGCCCGCCAGAGGGAGGGAAGGCCTGGCCGCCCTGCGCAACCCGCGGGGGCGCACAGGTGAGTCCCTACCTGGCGGCCGGGAGCCGGAGCGTGTGGGTGCTGGCCGAGCGGGGCAGGCCCGCGAGCGCTCAGGGAGGCGGGCCCGAGTCGCGCCTGGGTGGGCGCTGTGGGCGGTGTCCCGCCCCCTCCTATCACTCGCGAGGTATCCCCAGAGCGCCTCTGCCACCCGCGCGGCTTCGGACGATCTCAGCGCGCAGGAATTGGGCGCCTGCTGTTTGCCAGGAGTCAGGCGTGCGCGGAACTGCTGCGATCTCCCAGGAGGGAGACGATGCGTTTCCTCACTTCGCAGGTGAAGAAACAGACTCCGCGGCTTCTCGCAGGTCACGGTGGTCGGCCTGGGATCACAATCCGGGGTGTCTGACCC